CTTGGCTGCTCCATCCCGCAAGGTGTCACGCAGAGCATTAAATTCATCCAATCCGTTACCCGGAGTACGAAGCAAGACCTTATCAAACAAATCTGATCGCAAAATGGATTCAGAAAAATTGCAGCTTGCTTACTATTCCTCTCCTCGTCCAGATCAACACCCTCCCTGTCAGATGTCTTCCTTCCACACAATCCATTAGGTAGCCCTTCTTTCTTGCCTTCTTTCTCCACTTTTACCACCACCTCACTGGTCCTTTTTCGTATCTCCTTAGGTAGCAAGCCACCACCATTCAAATTGACAAGCAACTGTTCGTCACTAGGAAGAAACTTGCTTGCCTCCTCAACTCCCCTCTTGAATTGTGAAATAGATGGGCTCTCACTATTCAAATCGGGGGCCTGAATGGCACTTCCAGGAGAGTCCAACAACCCATCTACACTGGTGATCGCACTATTCGAAGAGCCATGAGATGACCAAGAAATGCTTGAAATAGGAAGCGTCTGTAACGGAGAGGTATCATACTCGGGCAGACTTTGTACCCGACCATTGCCAACGAAGTAGCCATCAATGGAACAGTTTCTATAATTCCAATATGCACTCTCATCTGGGTTTACTCCATTATGCATGATGCAAGTCGAGTTTGGTTCTGGGGAAGGTGGATACCTTTTGCCGATAGCTTCATAAAGAGATCTTTCAGCCGCTTGAAGATCCAAAGAATCTTGAAGCATACACGTCTTGTCCTCCATATCTTCCTCCATCAACATCGTGTTAATGTACCGTAAAACCGCATCTGAGAAATCGCAGTCCTCATGCGAATCATCCTCATGGCTCAAATTCGAAACGGGAGCAACTCTACCAGGGACTACTGCGTTTGGTGCAAGATAATTATGTTCCCTGTAACTGTGATCCATAAAGGTATTCTCAAATCTAGGTTCAGCAACAAGGTTCTGATTTGGCAAAACGGACAAGGGCTGATTTACAAACTGCATTCGATTCATTGTACCAGAAAACATCCCAAGACGCGGCTCCATAATCATATATTTCGGAAGAAGTAAACACAGGACCAAACCAAACCAAACCAAACTGGAGGAGAACTACCAGTAGAATCTCAAAATCCAAAATACACGAATCTCTTATTTACTCGATTCGAAGGATTGGAGATTTTTTACCCCCCACAAAACCATGATTCGAAGAAACTTTACAATCGCAGGCAATAAGATTGAAACACTAATTTCGCAAAGAAGACAAACCAGAACATAGATAAATTCACCACTACTAAGTTGCTAATCTACAACACAATAGAAAAAACAAAAAACAAAGAAGAGACAATGAATCGCCAACTTTAGGTCAAAATTCACCACCCCTCAAATGCCCCAAAAAAAAGTATCAACTTCCTTCATAAACTGTACGGCGCTCTGCTTGGGAACACAACGCGAGAAAATACAGAAGAACAATAGCTTACCTCGCAGAGACTGTATCTTAACACAGAGAGAGAGAGAGAGAGAGACAGAGACAGAGGGGAAACGAAGCAGGGAGTGACCTAAAGCCATTTCATCTTACGGAGCTTTTTATTTTTTATTTTTTTATTTCTGAGATAAAAGCGATTTAAAGGTGGAAAAAATCACGACCGTTGATTTTGTCTCCTCCTAAATCATGAGACACTCAATTATTTGTCCTCTACCCAATACGCGAGTGCCACGTGTCAGTCTGAAAGAACATTTCGGATGATGTGGCGGGTTTTCCGCGTGCTTCCAGAACGATCTGTCACCAAAAGGATTCTTTCTGCATCGACGCGTGGTCCCGCTCTGATGAAAGTACTAAAATGCCCCTCTGCCGTGGATGTGGATTCACGTGGGATCATGAATATATATATATATATCCATGATGGTGATGATGGGCATATTTGTTTAGAAAAAGTACCATATACATATATATATATATAGAGTTAGATTCTTACCCTTTACAAATATATAATATAATTTTTATAATTATATAAATAAAATATAAATATTGTTTTGTACAAATAAAATTATATAAAAATTAAAAGAAAATTTCACTGAAAATATAAAACATTATCACATACTAAATTTTACCTATATTTTTTATATTAATTATTACGTAACATTTTATATATAAAAATATTTTAAAAAAAATATTAGCAGTAAAAATTTATGATTTAAATCTTAATTGATGATATTACGTTATATCTGA